TTTTTTTATAGAATAAGGGCTGATCCTCAATATAATGCCATTCACAGTTCTGTCTCGGTCCGATCTCGGTCTGATAAAATATTATCGAGTACAAAATATGTGTGTGCATTCATACTTTCCGGTAACAGTCAAGTTTCTGTTGAATCCCATTCCATTATAATAAACGAGAACGGACCGAGTTCGGACCGAGAACGAACTGTGAACGGCACATAGGGATCGGCCCTTAGGGTGACAAACGAGACACAGTCCGCCTGATGGTAATTGGATGCTGTGGCCCATAGTCATCTACGTGTACATCATCATCGTATATATAAGTAATCTACGCATTATTTCACGTCATTATAATATCAAACATGGCCTGATATAACAAATTGCGAGTGGATATTGAAATCTTTGAAAATATGATAGGTTATTAAATTAAACTTAAGTGTTTTCCAACATGAAAAACTTACAATAACTTACATATAATCACGAATTTACAACCAACAAGCGTAAAATAAGATTTGTCCCTCACGGAGTCCCAGCCGCCTCAGATGACCCGAGAGGCTCACTGGAATTAGCCCGTTTGCAGAAACGACCACAAAAATAGGTCACCTGAGTCAGGTCCAGATATTTTGTTTGCTTATCTGTTCCGACTTTCACGAGGTTCTTGTCATACGGAATGATCGACCAAAAATGTCCTGGACTGTGCCCGGTCCATAAGCACAATATCGGGCTTATTCGCAAAAATAGTCCTGTCCCTGATGATGGCCCAGTCCCAGTAGAGTCTGGAACGATCATTTTCGAGCACGATTTCAGAGCGAGCTCTTGGTGTAAAATCCTGGCTACTAGGTTGTGCCTGTGCAAGTACTCAGAGTCAGAAGGCGCCGAACAACCGGAGATGACATGCCTAAGTGACTCACCGGGATGGCGACAAGCTCGACAGGTGTCGACGGTGCCATCCTTTAGGATGTGTCTCCGATTGTTGTTGGTTTTAATTTTGTTGATGACTTTACCGTGCACTTTCGTTACTTTTAACTGTAAAGCGATTAAAAGATCGATTGAAGGCGTCAGATCATTATGTAAGTCTCTACTCTAGTGCTCTACAAGAAACGTGTTGTTCCAATACGATCTACCATTCCTCGGTGTGGTGGATAGTAATTTCGGAAGTACCGACACTTCTCGACGGACCCTGCGGCTGGCTTAAGACGACACATCGAAAAAAACGCTTAAAATGGCTGCGCCTATTCCACCCCGCGCCCCGCTTGCGACACTCGTCACTCGATTCCTAAAATTTCAAACTCGCGCCAAATGCTCAATCGGAGGTCAACGTGCGATAATTATACAGAAATGAACAAGCAAGCGTCGGAGTCGCGACACACTATTATTTTTAATGTTTTTAATATTTTGCATCATTTATTGTCTTGTATAATAAAATGTAACTGTATATGTCATTGTTGTTGTCGTCATGTTAGTTTATCAAAAGAGAAATCAACAAAGCTTATTTTTTTATTTATTGAAATAATAACTAAGACATAATTTTTAAAACTGATTATATTGTATAACAGAATTTGTAACTACGTTTTTAATGATATTTTATTCCTCTTCTTTTTTAAGGCCATCATACACATTAACGGGTCGGCCTTATGGAGGAGTGGCGTTACTTTGGCGAAAGAGTGTACATATTTCCGTGTGTGTCGGTTGTACAGTGTTCTAATCCGCACATATTATGTACAATTAAGATTGCGCTTACATCATTGCAATCTGTAACAGTGTTCAATTTGTATATATGCCTATCAACAGCCGCGAAAACTTAGCAGAGTTCACTGATTGTCTAAGTTCACTGAATGCAATTATTGACGAAAGTGGTGTCGAGACGGCATTCATCCTTGATGACTTTAATGCGGATTCGAAAGAGTTATTTCATAGTGAGTTGCGAACTTTCTGTACGGAGCAGTCATGGACATGTGCGGATGTAAGTAAGTTGGGCACTTTAACACAGACCTATACGGACATAAGTGAGGTTCATGTCACCGAGAGTTGGTTGAACCATTGTTTTGTAACGGACTATTCTGGTCACTGCCTGGTCAGACCACTTTTCGTTGTTTATTTATTGTAACCTAAATATGGTTGTACCTAAAACGATTGCAAGTGATTTTGTTCTTAATAAAGTAACATGGGGGATCGTTCTCTTTGTTGAATAAATGAATATTATAGGTTCTGTAATGAAAAATTGAAAAATATTGATTTTCCTGTAGAATTTCAAAATTGTTGTTATAAGTACTGTAATGATATTAGGCATAAATCTGTTATTGATGATATTTATATATTAAAAATATTAACATTATCTTACGCAGCTGTTGTCACTTTTGAATATAGAGGTATGCGTAGACCTAGGTCAAGAATTACCCTAGGCTGGAATAAACATGTCAAAGATGCTCATAGGGAGGCTAGATTCAGGTTTAATAAGTGGGTATCCTACGGGAGGCCTAAGTGTGGCCCCATATATAATGAAATGATCAATGGTCGTAAAATATTCAAAAGCAAGCTAAGATGGTGTCAAAACCACCAAGATCAAATTCGTATGAACATATTGGCAACTCATCATGCAAATCAACCAACAAATCAAGTCCTGTATCTGACCTTCCGGTAAGTGTTGACGGTGCAAGTGACCCTCAGTAAATAGCTAATAATTTTAAGGATCTTTTTACTGTTAAACCTCCACTGAAATCACCCAAGAAAATCGATACTGAAAGAAGTCAAAAATGCTTTAACACTGTAACAAATGTTCCATGACGGGAGGAAAATCACCCGGACACGACAGCCTCAGCATTGAGCACTTACAAAATGCGGGTCCGTACCTTGGTAGGGTACTGAACATGCTTTTTAATATTTGTCAGGAGCATTCATATCTCCCGCTTGAATTATTGAAGACGTTTATCATTCCCATTGTCAAAAACAAGGCGGGTGACGTGAAGACGGGTGGTATCAGCTGGGTCCAATTATAGACCTATCTCGTTAGCGACGATAGTGGCAAAAGTTTTTGACGGTGTGCTCTCAGTTGGATAGTCATTTAGTGATTCATGATTTACAGTTTGATTTCATACAAGAATCAACCGAAAATGCTATACTGAGCCTTAAGCATACCGTCAGGTACTATACGGACAGGCATACACCTGTTTATGCTTGTTTCCTAGATTTGTTCAAACCCTTCGACCTTGTCGATTATGATATCCTGTGGGAAAAGGCACTACAGGTGGGTTTGCCACCCGACATATTAAACCTATTAGAGTTTTGGTATGGTAAACAATTTGTGTCAGATGGGCCGGGGTATGTTCTGATGCTTATAGAATGGACTGTGGTGTATGAAAGGGAAGTTAAACATCTCCAGGTCTTTTTAACTTGTACATCAATGCACTGATCGAGAGGCTTGGTGAGGCACGTGTCAGTTGTCACATCGGAAAAGCTTGCGTAAACAACATTAGCTACGCGGAAACACGGTGCTGTTGACCCCTTCATTCAGTGCGTTGAAACAACTGCTTGGAATATGTAAAACATATGCGAAAATGTATGGATTACTGTACAACACTAAAAAGAGTGAGTACATGGTGTTCAAGGCGGGTAGCAAATGTCCTGGTAAAGTATCCCATATCTATCTGAGCAGGGGGGTGATGTGTGGCTTACTTACTAATAGGTAGTGTTTTAATTTAAGTATCTGGGGCATATTGTTACGAATGATCTCTAAGATGATGCTGACACGGGAAGGGAGCGAAGGGCGTTGTAGATTAGGGCGAACATGTTGGACCGCAGGTTGTATCATTGTTCTGATACAGTAAAAATTACGCTTTTCAAAGCCTACTGCACATCATTTTATACGAGTAGCCTGTGGGTCAGATATACAAAGAAATCATACGGCGCCATTTTTGTATTCAATATAACAATGCGTTCAGGGTGCTTTTACGGCTGCCGCGTTTTTGTAGTAGCGTGTTTATAATAGTGTAGTTCGGGTATGCTTGCAGCTGCGCAAGTCGACAGTTTCCCGGCTAATTTACGTAAAAAAAGCAGGTTTCTTATTGCGTAGAATCCGTGGCAGCCGTAATATCATTCTGAAAAGCATTGCTGAAAATGAAGACTGTTCAATTTTAGCTCATATGTGTGCTATAACTCACGTCTTCTTAGTTATTAAGTACTAACATAGACATTAAGCTTCTATTGTATCTACTAACCACTTTGGATCTTTGTTGTGCGAACAATAAACATCTTTTTTTAATAACCTGATCTGATGTAATTAAGGAGGCTGCACACTTGGCGATTATGCATGGTGAGCGCGCTTAAAAAACCACGCCCACCCTGCGTTCGCGACATGTACAGCCTCATTACCGACGATCTCGGATGATGCATTCTATGGGACGTCATGGTAGTGTGGATTTTTCTATCCAGCGTGTTAAGTTCAGTCTGAGTCCATCTGAGTATATCAAAAGTACAGGTGCATGAGGATAGGCAGGCATAACCCAACCGTTATATGCGTGTGTCTTATTTACACCGGACAGAAGGCTGTTGTGTTAAGCACTTTGGTCAAGCGTGCATAAAACACGTCGCAAACTGACTGTTTCATACCCGCTTCATCGATACCGATGTTCTTTAACATACCCAGGTATCAGTATGTTTCAACCTCAGAAATGGTCTTTAAGTTATTATAATACAGCAGTCATCGACAAAAACTTCGCCATGTAATGACTAATGAATCAGCATATTGTATAGAATAATTTATGAACAAAATACACGTTAGATTACGCTGTATGGTTTAAAACCTTTGCCCGTGTATACTTATCATTGTCAGTTTTTTTAGTGTCACTGTCAGTGTCATATTACATAGATGAAAACATTCAGTTTTAGTTTTGCTATTTTTAGGATTTTTAATCCCATTTCCACCACGTTTTACTTTTAAATTTCGATAGATTTTACTATTTATTTCATTTTTTATTGAATGTAAGTGTTGGTGTTATAAAAAGACTAGAGCCATGGGACGTAAAGATGGAAAGCAGAATAATAAATATCTTCAGCAAAAGCGAAAAGAACTTCTTACCCTGATAAACAAAGTACTCAAACTTACCAGCGTATTTCAAACTCCGGGTAATGCATTGAAAAGCTGGGATCATCATTTGGAAATTGATTCTATAATTCGGGAGATTATTAATATTGAAACTTCCTTCGATAGTAAAGATAATAAGACAAATCGTTATACAAATCTAAAAAAATATGTAAATTGGTTGCATGAGAATGGAGCACAGTTTGAAGGTGAAAATATATTTACATTTATCATACATTAATTATTTCCTAAAAATTAAAATACCTAGTGTTTCATTGCAAATGACTGCATAATTATTGTAATCAGACGGATCAAGGTTCTAATTATAACAATTTTTCAGTACATACATACAAGGTGATAGTTAAAAATTATTAAATAAAAGTAAAAAAAGTATTACTCTGTGCTCTTAACCTGATAGGTGAAATATTTTTACTTTGATTAATAAAGAGAAATAAATACTACATATTTTATATTTAACATGCCATATTTACTTTATTAGTAAAATAAATGATTCTTTTTTATGTTTTCAGATGTTGAAATAAGTGATTTCGAAGGTTTTGACTTGGGGTTGAAGGCAATGAAAGATTTCCCTGAGGATTCCCTTATTCTTACTGTACCAAGCAAAATTATGATGAGTGAGAAGGATGCCCTTGAATCCGAATTGAGTCTCTTCATGAACTTAGATCCAATATTAAAAAATATGCCTAATATAACACTAGCACTGTTTTTATTGTTAGAGAAAAGAAAAGAAGGTAATTAAAATTTTCAGACAACTTAAAAGCTATCTATTAATTAAGCTATTGTCCCAAGATGTTGTAAAAGCTAAGTAAGAAAAATATCTTATTTTATATATATTTTTATTTTAATATAAGACTTTCTCTTTTCGCTAGGATTGTCTCTGATGTTGTGGAGGCATTATGTACATAGAGTTAGTAAGTTTGCAATGGGCTTTTTTTCCACAACACTACAACTAAAGCACCTATTGCAATGTCTCCTTGGAGAAGTTTAATAAACTTTTAACGTTCCTGATGACGGGGAAGCAATCACAGCCTGCTGATGTGTTTAATGTAAGTGGCAACCTTCAGACACACCAGCAGCATTTGTGCTAGCATTTCTTGTTTCCTCATGCAAGAGCTAAAGGTAACATCAATAGTAAACAAGTGATTGTTGTATACATATGTACAAACATTTTCTCTTCATCTTCATCTAATCAAACAGTTGGTACATGTAGGATTTAAACAAGCAGTTCTGCAGCGCCCCGGTCAAATGTTTAGTCACTGCACTCTAAAAACTATCAATTGTTAAAACCTTATTAAACTTAGATAAGCCATCTTGATGACTGCAGTTTATCTATTTTAACAATGTTCCCCTGAATTTTAAAAACGCTGAGAACTGAGATCTGGGATTAATCAGAAGCTCTTAATTGATATTTTTGTATATTAAAGTGCCACAAATGTACTTCAAAATTCAGATCTCTTTATACCTTATATAGTAGAGCCACATGTCAGCATTTGCTATTGCAGTGATAGATTAGCTCATACTTAGAACTTATATTTAGTGTTTCACATATAAGAGTACATTACTTCTGCTTTTCGCAAGTGCTGGAAACCGGTCACTTAAGGCAATGTCAGAAGCATATTTCCAGAATTGGCGAGAAACTAGTTCCCCTTTCTTTTGGGAACTGGTGCATTCTAGCATATTAAGGCTGTGCAAGTGATTTTTTTAAGTGGACTAAAGAATATCACAAGTCAAGGGTAACAAAAAAATTATGTCTAAACACAAAAAATTTCACCCCCTATTTTTCCACCCTCAGGGGTGAAATACTTCCTCCAAATGTATGTGGAACAATCCTTGAAGTATTCACTACTTGATAATAAAGAATCATTACACACAGTTTAGCTGTTTCAAGGAAAATGGTGAACATATTACATAAAAAAACATGCATCTCATAGAGAACCATCTGGTTTTTTGAACTTGGTTAAAAATTTTAATATAAAAGTTATAATATTAGGTTTATTTATAGAATTGTGATGTTATTAAAGTAACATTGGTATTATTTATGCATATTTTTTTTCAGATTCATTTTGGAAACCTTACATTGATATTCTTCCTGACAAATATAACACAGTGTTATATTTCACATCAACAGAACTGGCTGAGATCAAGGTATGGTTTTGTATTCAGTGTTCCATGTACATTTGATAAGTGTTAAGGGGGAATGTATCAACTACGCTATAATATGTTAACCTATTCTGCATGCGGCGCATCCTGGCAACTTGCAAGTGAGGCTCTGGCGCCGATAAATGTTGTTATATCCATTTGAAAACCTAAACCCAATATCACCCACACCGCACAGGGTTATGGAGCATTTGAATTGCTGAAATGTGTTTTAGTGAACTTTACATGTCCTCTATATATTAGATGTCTCAGACATCTACACAAGGAAAACTTTGTAAGGAAACACCTCGAAGTAGAAAATTGCCCCAGAGCATGTGATAAATGGGCACTTAAAGTGGCAATTAACAATTTTATTGGTACTGGCGGGGATTGAACTCAGTTTACACAAGTACTATGATATTTATGACCACTGAGCTCCCACAACTCTACATTATTTTTTATAGGATAAGGTTGACAAACAAGCACACTGTCCACCTGATAGTAAGTGGTTGCTGCGGCCCATTGACATCCACATCAATCCTCGATCACCAATCAAAATGCAGTTGCGTTGTTACCCGTGAGGAATGCCTCTTTTCCAGTAAAAAGGATCTCCGGTTCTCTACACTCATCATACGAAACACAGCAACGTTAAGCTGCTATTTTACGCTGGTATTCTGTGAGAATGTGGTCCTGCCCCGGTCGAGCCGGCCCATTCGTGCTACAACTATACTACTAATATAGTTGCAGCATGGGTCTACCACATAAAAATATCTAGATTATGCCGAACTTGAATACCAAGTGTAGCAGAAGCTTTAGCCATTCTACTATGTGGTGTCTTATATGTTATACATATTGTGGCCGTCGCATCGTAAGAGGCGACAAAGAAAAAAAGAAACGCATCTTCTTGCAACTGAAAATAAAAACTGCAGCTAAGAACCCCCAGCTAACCTTGGCAAATATGGCAAATATGTGCAACCCTATGAGCAACCTATGGATGAGGCCCATATTCATCAGAAAAATTTTGATTGGTTGCAGTGAATTAATGAAAAATCCTGAGACTCATGACTAAGCAATGTTGTAACATTGTTAGATATCTAGAAGACTAATTCTCTAGTATCCTATATAACTCGGGATGCATTAAATTTTAGCAGAGAACTGTATTTAAAATTTATGAATGTAGAAATAAAAACTTTCTGTTCAAGTCTCTTTGATAATAAATTTAATTTATGATTGAAACTATTTAACTCTGTTCTTTCTATACCTTATTATGGCACATTGTATATGCCAAACATTGATATACAAAAAAAGTATATCAATGATGCCAAAATAAATTTTCCGCTAAGAGTATTAATTCCTACAGAATAAGGGCGGCACAAGAACACAGTCCACCTGATGGCAAGTGGAGGCTGTGGCACATAGACATCTATTTATACATCTAACCTCAATTAAGAATTACATTGCAGATGCATCGTCACCCTAAGAATTAAGATGTAATGCCTCATTTCCAGTAATAATAGTCTTCAGTTCTCTACATTCACCATATGAAACACAGCCGCATTAAGTTGCTATTTCATAATAGTATTTTGTTAGAGTGTGGCCATTTAACTATTATACTATTATATTTAACACCATTATTATATATTATATAAACACAAATATGTGATTATTTTATATCAATTTCTTAAATTGATCAAAATTAAGAACTTATGGCCATTGTGAAAGTAAAGTATTGATAAAATATTGCTCTAACCCTTAAATTTGTGCAGAAAGTTCAATTGTATGCTCTATGCTGCGTCTTATTTTAGTTTATGCTCTCTCTGTTTCAGCCATCACCAGTGTTTGAATCTTCATTAAAACTTTATAGAAGTATTGCTAGACAGTATGCTTACTTTTACAGTAAAATTCACACTATGAATTTACCAGTGTTGAAAAAACTACAAGATATCTTCACTTACAATAACTACAGGTAAGAAAACAGTCATTTTTATTATTGATTTTATTAATTTAAAATAAATTTTATAATATAATTTTTATTCACCTTCATTTATTGCACTACCCATGTAATACTGAACATCAGCGTAGAATAAACAAATTTCTAAAACAAAATGTAGTAATGTGTATATGTACGCAAACATGTGTAGATGTTTGCTATAGACCAGTGCAAGTATTTTTTTGATGTTATTTATTATTTTTCATTAATTTTAATGATTATCAGTCCCTTCTGTTACTTTACGATTTTATTATAGATAAAATACATTAGTACAAATCTTAAATTAAAAATCAGGTCACTATTAAATTTTTAAAACTACCTAAAATAAAAAGAATTAAGTTTCAGATACTAAAGGGGCTATGCTATCTACTGAAAAGGTTTTCTCAAAGAGTCCCACATGTATTCCGAACATTCATTAGTGTTGCCTTTTTCTAAAGTATTAACTGAGTAAATGTTTGAAGTAAGTATTGGACTCATACTACGTATACTACTGTTTTTATTGCTCCTTCTATTTTCGAACACGGGTGTGGGTATTCGTTCTTCACCAGCGCATTGTTTCTTTTTATACATTTGTTGTTGATGCTGCCATTTAAATGCTGCATATGTTAGTAAAAACAGTACTGCAATGAGACCCATAATACTTGCAGTTACAACTGTTACTGATTTGGTATTGTTGTTGATTGTTTCGGGAGTACTAGGAGCTATAGTGGCTTCTTGACTATCAAGTGACTTTAGTTCTATTTTATTATTGTATAAAAAAGAGTTGTCTTGTAAATCCTTAATACGCTGTATGTCCTCTAAGGCAATAAGGCCGTCCCCGTCAATATCTTCTTCTAGTATAGTTTGCTTTATAAATGTGTTTGGTGATGATAGATCTGAAAATGATGAAAGAATTTTAATATTTTAAAATCAAATAATTATTTGTGATGATAATGAATGATTTGACTGTCTTGTTGGTCTAGTGTTCTTAACCGCGATTGCTGGTCATGAGGTCCTGTGTTCGAATCCCGAGTCGGGTGAAAAATCGGTTATGGGGTTTTTCTGTCAAGGAGTTCTCAGCGCGGAGTCATGAAATTGGCAGTATTTCACCCCTGTGCCTTGAAAAGCTTGTAAATTCGTAGGTCCTGCGCCTGATCTCTCACCGGACTACGAGGGTGAGGGAATAGAGAGTGCACCTATGTTTGCTTGTGTTTACTTAACACTATGATCCTGTCCTACGCAGATGGCTAGTCTCCGTTGGATAGACTGGCCGCCGTGACTGAAATTCGGTCAGGAGGACATTATTTTTTATGGAATTAATAATGTATGGAAGGGGTTATAAATTTTACAAATTGAATATTTTTTAAGCAAGATAATTATTTTCCTTCTTTTATTAATGTATTATATTTAAATAACGTTTCGTCTTCGTTTATAACCCGTTTTATAGTACACAAAGAGCATACAAAACCTTTTAAAAACAAAATACTTGATCAAAAATTACTACTTCTACTATAAACTACTACTTAATTAATTTATAATTTTTTTAATTTATAATAATTTTTCATCTAAAATCATCGTTACTTGACGATAGAATACTAAATTCTTGTAATAAAATAGTGTTGTTACGAACAACAAAACAATTATTGAATTTAGGAATATTGCATTATACAACTGTTAACCAAGCAACCACCCAACGTTAACTATGGGTATGCTCCAGTTCATTCATAATTAATCTAGAAATAAAATTAAGGTGCCCATGTCATAGTGCACTAGGACTGATGCAGCTAAGGATGAATTTCATTATTTTCTGTTATCGGACGGCTTCTTTATTATTTTCTGTTATAACAAAATTTAAATTGACAACTTATAGAAAATTATTTTTTTTTTTATAGAATAGGGTGACAAACGAGCACACAGTCCACCTGATGGTAAGTGGTTGCTGCGGCCCATAGACATCTACATCTATCTTCCATTACAAATCAAAATGCAGATGCGTTGTCACCCGCGAGGACTGAGATGGAATGCCTCATTTCCAGTAAAAAGGGTCTCCGGTTCTCTACACTCACCATACGAAATACAGCAGCATTAAGCTACTATTTCACGCTGGTATTCTGTGAGAGCGTGGTCCTTCCCCGGTCGAGCCGACCCATTCGTGCTACAACTATACTACTAATATAACTGCAGCATGGCTCTACCACGTAAAATATATATTATATTTAAAATCTAAGAATACGTATTTCGATATAGCAGTTACTTTAATGGTTATTATATTAGATGCGTAATTTACATCTTATAGTTTTAAAACACAATTAAGATATACAGAGTATGTTATTATGCCAGAGAAAACTAATAGTGCAATACTATAACTACTAATTTTAATAGCTGTTGAATATGCAATAAATTTAATAGAGAATTACAAAGAAAATTTCTTATATAATGCCTTTCGCTTGCAGTACATTTATAAATTAAATATATGTGTTCTTGTTAAATAAATAGTTTTTTCAAGAAATTCTTACATACCGTTTGAACTAATTTGTGACTCGTCATCAATAATATCATGACTATGATGCAAGATGGTCAATATTTCATTAAGTGTAACCAAATCATGTTCATTGCCTATTATACGACTCTGACGAGAAGTTCTATTTGTGAAATTATCATGAATGGTTTCCTCAGTCTTGATTTTTTGATATGTGCTAGCTTTATTCGTTGTCACTATATCCTCTTGTTCTTCCTTTTTCGTAAAGTTGTTACGTAAAGGTGTTACGCCTGAGTTTTCTCCATTTTCATTAACATTATTTCCGAAATCCATTACTATTGGTATGTTTATATACTGTGGTTGCATTAAATATGGTTCTATTGTAGGTGCTTTTATCGTAGGATCATGTAAGTTAGCTTCTAAAAGCGCTCTCAGAGGATATGTCTCTTTCGATATTGGTTCAATAAGAGATTTGGAAAGAAAAGGTTCCGGCGGATTGGGCTCCTTTGACGCGTTGTGAAAGATATCGGCCAGGTGTATATGACTAGAGCCACGTTCCCTGTGTTCCACTAATTCACTGAGAGTCATATTTCTTTCCATCAATATTTTCGATAATCTGGCGCTAGCTGAAATCAATTAGATGCAACTGTTCGTAAATAACATTTAAAGAAAAATAACGATTTTCCACGTTTTATACGTCGTAGAGCAGGTATGTTAGGGTTTTAGCACGAATGAGTTTGCTCAACCAAGAAGGACCACACTCTCATAGTTATTGGATTGCAACTGTCCCCGAGTCGATGGAACCGCAGCATAGTCCATATATATCTTTTCGCATAAATGTTACAATGACGGATATACCTTCTAAGACGAATGAATATCATTTTTTCTTTCTGAAAGTGTATGTGGTTGGCCCCATAGAATACTATAATACACAATAGAATGGCTGCCAGCCTTATTTTGTACGAGGATAGGCGTCGCCGGGAGCACACATATAAGCAATTACGTCATATTATCAGTTAATCACTACTAAAAACCCATTCGCTGTGTTGACGGACGGATTTTAATACATATTTATTTGTAAATAGGGTGCAATTTGACATTTTCTAAATAATTTGCATGCGAAATTTGGAAACTATTGTAACGTCAAAACACATCTCGTTTTGACATTTATACGTGTGAATTGTGTGTGTATTGACGTATTAGTGGCATTTTAGTGGCTACACGGGCTATTATGTATGTATTATAGTATTCTATGGTTGGCCCTGTGGCCTTTACAGCTTCATCGAAATAGACTCGTAAGCCCTACCTACGAGCTATTGAATGCAACGATTCTGCCGGCGACGAGGCGGCGCAAAGCGCCGCGTCTCTGTCGTGAAACTGCAGTCTCGAAGCATCCCAACCTCTGTTTAGGAGTGAGGCTCCTCTAGCTGGGGGGGGGGCTTGATTCAAAGGCCTCTGAAGAGTACACCTCGGCGTGAACCACTATCGCAATGTAGGAAAACAGGTCGAAAACTAAGAACGTATCACAGGTATTAAACCTCGTTTATGGGGTGTTACTGTGACCTCGCGTCGAATAAGTATCGAGCACCGTAACATCTTCCTTGTAGTAAATAGAGCAGGAAGAGACGTCATAATCAAAATAGGTTGCCGCTCTCTAAACCATTTTATTTATTTATTTTTGCAAGAATAGAAGTGGTTCTCATGCTGGGTAGGCCGATAAGCGCAAACCTAAAACCATTGTAACGTTACTTCCCATAATTAATCTGTGGAGTTAGTGTTGTGTAATTTTGAATGCATATACCGCCATGTTTGTTGGATGCTAGATCCCCGTTGAAATTACAGAAGTATAAACCACTTGCATGTCAATTTTGGACAAATATTTGTTTATCCCCTTTACACCCCTTTACACCCCAAATATCTTAATATTTAGTAAAGTTATAAGCTATATAAGTCCTGGCTACATGCCACCTCTCATTTCTAAGAGGGTTATACAGCAATTAGTCCGATGCACTTCACTATATCCTCAAAATATTTGAAATTCCCTAGACATGCAATATTGCTCACTATGTTTTCCTTCACCCGAACATCATCATCATCATTCATGATTACAGCTCTTCACAAGTCCATTGCTGAACATAGGCCTTCCCCAAGCCACAGAGCTCCTGAGCCACCTGCATCCATCGACTTTCTGCATCAGAAGGTCGTCACTCCATCTTAAAGGGGTGGGGGGGGGGGTCTGCCCTACACTACGCCTACCGGTACGGCTGCTACTCGAGAAACTTTTCCCCATCGATTGTCGGTTACGGCTACATGGCCGACCCATTGCCACTTCAGCTTACTAATCAGTTGTGATATGTCGGTAAATCTGGTTTTACTGCGGATATCCTCATATCTAAGTTTATCACGCAGAGAAACCCTTGAGCGTCCTCATACGGCCAGCAGTGAAGGACCACGTCTCAGATCCATAAGTCATCACTGGCAACATGCACTGATTATACAATCTAGTTTTCAGATTTTGAGGTATACCTGACGAGAAGATGTGTTGTAATTTCCTGAGCGCTGCCCAGCCGAGATGAATCCGTCGATTAACCTCTCGGTCGAAGTTGGACTTACCTAGTCGAACTATTTGTCCCAGGTAAACGTATTCTTCAACAACTTCGAGCTTAGAGCTCCCAACAACTACCGTCATAGGTATATAGGTTTCACCAGAACAATGAAATGTTGGTTGCAAATCAATGAAATAGTTAATTGTTAATTGCAATTAACAATTTAATTGATGCTGACGGGGATCGAAACTGAGTTAGCGTAGGTACTATAATGTTTACGTTGAGCGCTTAACTCTTGAGCCTTCACGGTCCAGGAACTACACATGATATTGATTAACCCTTCAATCCCCATAAAAATCCTATGCAGTCGCATGCGTCCGGTAAATCCTGAGCGGTCGCATGCGACCGCACCACCCACAGCACTTTAAACCATTAAAACTTATATTTAGAGACAACTTTTCTACAAAGAAGTTTTGCATTATAAAATCTCTACAAAATTTTCTATCCTGTTGTCTAAACAAAAGTCAGGTTTTACTTCATTATAGAAAGATTTTATTGTATTTTGATAACAAAAAATCAATACATACCAAGAGGATGTCGGCAGCGTGAAAATCACAATTATTTCTATTTATTACTCGAAATTGTTAACGTAAAAAGATAAATTATAGTCACACCAAAATTTTAATTACAATTTTATAATAAAACACTATACTAAAATACTAATAAAACATTCCACAATAACATTCACACGAAAATGGCGTACGAAATGAACGTAGATTATAAATAAATATCCATAGATTAAGTGACTTTTTATTGTACTAGAGGATAGGAAATTACATATTGATTCTATAATATCAAACTTTTTCATGGAAAAGTAATCTGTAAACATAGGTATTTATGGGTTAAAGTGCTGTGGGTGGATGCGGTCATATTTGACCGCTAGAATTTTGACGGAATATCGAAGCGCTCAAATTTAGTGGCTTGCCGTCTGAGAGGTTAACTAAGTTGATATAGCATTTTGTTTACTTACTTGAAGTATCGTTAAGGATTTCTTCTATTTCAATATTTGAAGTTTTCTCTGTAGTGCTTATACTTATTGTAGGCCTTGGGGTTGTGCTTGATTTTGTATGCTCTCTTGTTTTCGATCGTTTCGTAGATATTTGAGTTATCGCTTTAGTTGCTGGCTCAGTTGTCATAAAATCTTCTAACATTGAAACGGTTTCACTCTGATCCCTTGAAGTAGTTGTCCGAGGATGTACCTTTGCTATAAATTCCGACGCTGACACTAAATTAGCCATGTCAAATATACCTTTTAATAAATGATCTTCAGACGTTTCATTCGACGACACTTTCTGCTTCATTCTTTTCTTATTTAATCTGTTAGCAAAAGCTCGCTGTCTTACATTAGTTATATTCAATATAGGTGTGTGACTAGAAGATGATATTGGTTTTTTTGTGGTCGTAGATTTTTCTTCCGTAGTTATTTCGACAGACGCCATTGTTGTTATAGATTCAGTATCCGTATTTAAAGATTCTGTTTGGGTTTCAGTGTCGATTTTTGTATATATCGGGTTAAATTGCGTTGTATATTGTGTTATAGTTATTTCTTCAGGGAGTAAATTTGTAGTAGTCGTCAAATTATCTTTTTCCTCTTGACTGATTTTTGACTTACTTTGCGTTTTATTTGTAATAGCTGGAAAAATTTCTTTCCAGTCTCTCAATTTAGTTATATTTCTACTGTTTTGATATCTTTTTGTTGTCGAAGCCATCATGTCCCTACTAACTTGTCCTTTATAAGTATTATTAGTATTATTAATCACTGGTCTCATGCGTAGTTTCATTCTAACATCAACAGGAAACCGTCGCCGCAGTGCAGTTGCGTTTGTTTCGGTCAGGTATGAGTTGTCTGTTTGATTGATATTGGAGTTTAGGTTTTTATGAAGTTTATATTTATCAATAGTAGTAAAACTAGGTTTTATAGGTTTATCAGTTGAAGCTTGGGATCCGGGGCTAAAATATCTGACTGTAGTTGAAATTAATTCTTCAGAAATAGTACTGACGTTTTCATTTTCAATTCTCTTGATTTCAAGAACATCAGCATTAATACTTATAGTCGGTTCTGCTATCTTAAACATTGACATTTGACTTGTAGATTCCTGTGTGGTAATCTCTTCTTCGTTTTGTGGCGAGTCAGTTGATTTTAAAACAGATAAAACGTTTTTCTCGCCATTAAGAAGATCAGCTAGCGTCAAATTGTGCATCTGTAGTAATTCACTCAAACTTTTCCCTTTTGATTTCTTCAATATTTCTTTTAGTGACGCAGGGTCTAAAGGTCTATTTTTCTGTAAATAGAAAATCGTAATTATGGCATAAATGAAAGATGAAAACAATAAAGTTAAAAAAATTATGATTGAATTATAATAATATATAAAATTAATAATGTTATTATGGGTAATCTTGGATAATTTTGCTGTTTTGTTCTTAAATGCGTTGTGTCGTTCACAAAGAAAAATAAAATCAAGTTGAAATACCGTTATTATTTTGTTCTTGCATCTTAACTATTTTAATTAAAATTTCAGTTGGTAAGGTCTAGGGAGACTTGTATTTTATCCAAAACTTTCTTCAAAGTGAGCCGTTGAAGACATTCCTACAAATATGTATTTTTTATATATGTATATTTTAATAAATAGTTTAGGTAAAAGTAATAATAAATATAATAAAGAGTTTACAAGTTTACAAAAAGGAATAAATTAAAACTAATTTTAGGTTTGCACTATGCATTATACATAACTTTTGATTCTCTGGCAATATTATGTTCAAGAACAAAACGTTTTGTTTCCGGGATAAGATGTGACCTACCATAGTGTTAAATCTGACTGGGACTTTGATGTCGGAAGATGAGTGTGTGTTCGTGTGTCTGTCATAGCAAAATGACACGCTGTATCGAATTGGAGGTTTTCTGAAATAGACGAGATCTTTTTTTTACTTACTTGTTCCTTGACATCGTTAAAATTTCCGGTATAAGGAAGTTGTGCCTCATTCCTGGTTTCTGGCGTAATTATAGGATTAACATTTTCTAGCGAAAATTCTGACAAAGATTTGTCTTGTTTTGTTTGAGGCGCATTATTTTCTTCTTGTTCAATTGGGAATTGAGATGGTTCATCTTCGTCTTCTTCTTCTGTAACGTCTCTCGCTTCGTCCGGATCCCGTTTCCTTTCTTCGTTATAAAATTGTTTTAATGTGAACTTTGCCTTACGATTTTCATTGTTGTCGTCCTCGGTCTCATCGCTAGTTATTCGTGGTTTTTGATTCCTTACATTTTTTTCAGAAGGATTTTCGTCATCAGAAAAATCGCCGAATTCACTTAATTCGTGCCACGGCTCTTGTGCCGGTCGTTTTCTTCTTTGATTTTTTCTTTGTAATGGTCTTCCTTGCTCTACAATTTCTTCGTTCCAACCAGTAGGTTTAGTGTCGATTTTCTTTCGCCGTCTTTGAGGCATTTCTGTATGTGACCTGTATTTATCTTCATTGTATGGTTGGTACTCTTGCTGTTGAGTATATACTTCTTGAGGTATAGGAATCTCCGCCGAACCAGGATGCGGACGACGCTTATGTTTTCGTATAGGCCTACGGCGTTTTGGCGGATTTTCTGGAGAACCGTCCCATGTATCGGTTTGCGTAGACTGCATCATAATGGGTTCCATTTTCATTGCTCTCCATGGCTGAAATATTTAAAAAAACGTTTAAAATAGAGTGACGGTCTTGTACGACATTGGATCTAATAAGTTTTATATATTACTAAATCTACTAATAAATAATAATCTATTAATACCATAATTAATTAATCGATTTTTTCACATCTCTTTATGAGAAGTAAATTATCAACCGCTTTGATATACACTCAGCGTCACAAAAATCGCACCTCTCTGAGTTTGCGCGAAAAATGGCTGTAATGGCTAGAAACGAATTATATTTATATAAATATTGGTATGTTTGAAATGGGTATTTGAATAGCTTTACATTATTAATAAAAAAATCATGAAATCATTAAAACATTTATCATTATAGAGCGTCAAAAATAAACACTGTCAAATGCTCGTTAGTAAGGACGCTAGTTACACCACCTAAAAAGGGTATAAAAGGGTCGATCTGGATGAAATATGGTTGCGCCCTCCTTTCTGCCTGCGCCCTCCTTTCTGCCAAGGAGGGTCGCGTTCGTATACGGCTTAGAGATCTCTAGTTAGATCGTTAAGCCAGTTCCTAAAAGGTTGGGTTTAGTGGGTAAAAGTCACCACATAACCACGCAGCCGGCTGCATTCCCAGCGTTCAGCGTTCATTCGAGCATTTCCGACCTCCCTCCCCCGCTTTCCGGAGGGTTGCCCATATTTGCTTCGGGCGCAAAAAAAAAATGAAATATGGGTCAGTCGTAATTTAGACTGCAGTGAACACACGTGAACAAGTAACCCAAGTAAGAACAACTAAAGATGGACACCAGCTCTGAAGAAGCCGCTCAAGTGATTGCCCTATTGCAGTCGGGGATGCGGCAGTGTGACGTTGCTCGACAGTTGAACCTGTCCCGTTTTTCAGTTCGACGGGTGTTCCAACGTTTTCAGCAGACTGGTGGTTATGTTAGAAAACCGGGATCTGGAAGAAAACGGTGCACATCAGAAAGAGATGACCGTTTCATCGTGACGACATCTTTACGAAACCGTTTTACAAATGCTGTTGAGTTGCAACAACAGCTTCGATCAAATCGGAGAACATCTGTGAGTGTTTCTGCGATAAGAAGAAGGTTATACGAAAAGAGTTTAACAGCCCAGAGACCTGCTAAAGGTCCAAAACTTACTGCACAGCATCACAGAGATCGCCTAGAGTTTGCTCGCAATCATTGCGAGTGGACTCTAGAACAGTGGCGGACCGTACTCTTCTCTGATGAGACGAGGGTCTGTCTCTTCTGCAATGACAGACGTAGAAGGGTCTACAGAAGACAGGGGGGAGAGGTTCACACAACCCTGCTTCGAAGAATCCGTCGAATACGGGGGGTGGCTCGTGTATGTTTTGGGGCGGCATTTCCGTCGACGAGAAAACGGAACTTGTGTGCGTTTCCCGGACTCGGGGCGGCCGTGGGCAAGGGTCATTAAATGCTGGTCGGTACATTACTGAAATCCTGGAGGAACATGTGGTCCCGTATGCTGGTTATGTCGGTGATGGATTCATGTTAATGCATGATAATGCTCGTTGCCACACCGCGGCTATTGTACGGGATTATTTACAGGAGGTCGATATCCCTGTTATGCATTGGCCAGCACGAAGTCCAGACCTTAACCCAATAGAACATCTCTGGGATGACCTAAAACGCGCGTGCGAGCTCGAGATCCAGCTCCAACCACTCTTCAAGAGCTCCAAGATGCGGTACTTGAAGAGTGGGAACAAATACCCCAAGAGGCTGTTGCGACCCGAAAGATCGCATGGAAGCCGTTATCAAGGCAAGGGGGGGGTAACACTAGGTTTTAAGAACTTTTTTTGTATTTATTAAGTTTTTTTTTAAATTATTAATTTGCAAATTTGTACATACCCTGTCTTTTTCTTTAATTTCTCTTTCGTCTCGTTATAAAAGTAAAATTCAATTAAAATTCCTGAAAGCTAATGAAATTACCTTTCGAATGATACCCTCAAACCACAACATTGCCATTGGCCTGTTGTGTTAAAATAGTATTTAAATTATTTTTTTCGGATGTGCGGTTTTTTTGACGCCGAGTACCGAGCAGAAAATTTTAATGTACTTGAACTTTCTATAATATATAAGTTATATAGGTGTTGGAAAATTATCTATTATATACAAGGACAAATGTAAGCTGCACATCTTTAGTGTTGTATTACATTTCACGTACACGTTTGTCATAGTGCAGCCGAAGCTTATCGAAATATTGTGCATGCGACCAATAGCAATCCTCAAGACTGCATTCTGCCCAAGCAGAGCATTTTGGGCTTGGGTTCAAAGTTTTTTGGGAAGGAGATTATAAGCTTGACAACCGTCCGAGAACGGGCTGACCACCGTAGGTAGATTGAGATATCGTACATTCTCTTGTTACATTATATATATACTTCTCTTGCTATAAAACGACACGCTCCCTGATACTTGTACTTTTATACCATTGAAATATTTAGATACTGTCAATAGTCTAAAGAGGATAGACTGCTATAAATGTATTGATAAAAGTCTGGTATACTATTGGTTTTAATACTGTGTGGTTTTTGTTGCTAAATTTATACTTCTAGCGCAAGCTAAGATTTCCAGAGATCACCCTTATGGTTACTTGCATAACAATACGCTTTTGATATTTATTATTCGACTGAGTATTCGAATAATAAATGTCAGTAAGATATACATAATTAAAAAATCGCAGTCATTGGAGACTACCGTTAGAAGTGAAAACTTAAAACTATGAAATAACAGTGGTTTTTATGGAATAAAATCTGTAATATTGCTCTGGTTTTCCACATATATTCATCATACATCATAATTTACATAGAATAAGAGTAACAAACGACCTGTTCGTAAGTGTATGCTGTGGCCCATAGACATCTGAATTTATCCTCAATTAAGAATCAAAATGCAGATGCGTTGTCACCCTTGAGGACTGAAATGGAATGCCTCGTTTCCAGTAAAGTGTCTCCGGAAATGTGAGAAGTGTAGGGCCCTGGTATTCTCGTATTTTGTGAGAGCGTGTTCGGTCGACCACAACTATTATAATATATTTGAAGCGTGGCTCTACCATGTAAAGTTCTTTGAAGTCGGCTTTTAGTTTAATTAAAGATTTAATTTTACTGTTCAATGGTTTCCTCGCGTCACGCGGGGTGATACCAAATATTTCATTTTAATAAAATGGTATGCTATATAATAAATAATCTAGCAGCAATTTAACCATATTAAGAATAATTGACAAACCTAAAATGTTTGGATATAGTAACTGGTAACCTGGTAGATTAATTTGCAACAGAGTACACAATATCAGACTTTTTTATAGGATAAGGTTAACAAACGAGCACACAGTCTACTTGATTGTAAGTGTTTACTGCGGCCCGTAGACATCTACATCAATCCTCGATCACAAATCAGTATGCAGATGCGTTTGTCACCCGTGAGGACTAAGATGGAATGCCTCGTTTCCAGTTAAAAGAGTCTTCGGTTCTCTACACTCACCATATGAAACACAGTAGCGTTAAGCTGATATTTGACGCTAGTATTCTGTGAGAGCGTGGTCGTTACCCGGTAGAGCCGACCCATTCGTGCTACAACTATACCAGTAATATAGCTGCAGCATGACCCTAACAACACAAATTGGGTTGGTGTAACATGTTACGGCTAAAAGCCGAAGTATGGATACACCTAAGTTTAGCTGGCTGCAACTAGGTGAAGACGATTACGTTTGGTTAAACTTAGTAGTCCGTGACCGTCGAAAAACGTTGGTCATCCGTAATAAGTAGAAAATTAAAATAAATGAGTTAAATAATAAACGTAGTAGTAAACACGCAGTGTTCTGGTGGTTTGTAACTTGCCCAATTTTGTTTTAAATTAAAGATTTTTTAAAGTAAAGGTCCCTCATTTCTCAAAGGGTTTTCAGAACAGTAAAAAGAGGTCACCGTGCCACGCGCTGCCCAATCCGTGCGATATCCATATAAAAGTATTTTTTTAAGTAAAAATTGCGTTCAAGATACCAACTTCGAAGACAGCCGTTAATGCCGTTTGTTGCTTATTTTATCTGCCAACCATACCATAACCATAGAATTTGATGAAATTCCCAAAGTGGTCTATATCGATCCCTAGGGGTCTATGAAAACCTGCATGCGGGTTCTACGTCAGCGAAAAAAAATTTGGGGGTCCATGAAATGAAATTGGGGGTCCACGATAGTGGATCTCAACACATACACTGATAGTACCTATTTACTTACATCGTACTATCTTATAATATCAAAACATATACATTATTTATAAAAGTACCTATGAAGTAAAAAATTTATTATATATGTTTATAAAATTGTGTAAGTTGTAGGATGTTGTTATTCGCTTTGTGGTCCAACATTTTGAACTTGTAAAAACCTGAGAGTCGCAGTCTCAGAGCATCGCTACCTTGCACTGACTTGTTCAATTCGTCACTCTATAAATACGAATGTGGGACAAATACGTTTATTCGTTTCCTGAATCTTGAAAAGGAAAGTGCTAAGAAAATATTTTAAAAAATATAAACAGATAGTATATCACACAAATTATAGTGAGTCAGTGTTATTTTGTTTGAGAGTGCTGGAGAAAAGTAAGTACATTATTTTTTATTAAACTTTAGTTTTGTACTCGTAGTTAGCAAAGCATAGATAAATTACGCCAATCATGACTTTAGTTATTAGTAGTTTAATATTCAATCATGCAAAATTACACGAGTACTCCTCAATAGTTTCTTTTTGAAAGTTTTAGCAATCGGTATTATAATTACAGTGCAATCTCCGTAATTCGAGCTAATTGTTGCAAGAAGATGTTCGAATTATGGAATGTTTTCGGAAAAAACAAAAAATATTTTTAATATACAGCTGCTGGATTTTCTGTCTTATTTAAATAATTTAATTTTGCCCACAGATGACTGATGCCATGTTTGAATCTAAAAAGAAATGTAGACAGTACAGTGTCGATTATTTGAAACTTGGCTTTATT